ATCAATGATGCCCTAAGAGAAACCCCTGCTCGCTGGAAATATGTCGACGACTCCACCATTGGGATCAGCGTCAACAATTCTGCTCCCAACTATACCGCCCTTCAGGATTTATTGAACAGTCTCCAAAACTGGGCCACCAACAACCATGTCACCATCAACCATACCAAGACCATGGTTATGCACATCAACCTCTCCTCCGACATTGTCCCACCTCCTTCCATTACCCTAGGTCCGAACACACTCCAGGTTGTAGATTCCACGAAGCTCCTCGGCGTCACCATAGACAACAAACTAAATTGGAAACCACACGTCAGTGAAGTTGTCAAATCCTCCAGTTTCCGTCTCCACCTCCTCCGCCGACTCAAGTCCCTCGGAGTTCCCGCACACGAGCTCCTCAGTGTATACACAACATTCATACTTCCCAAGCTCACCTATGCCTCCCCCACCTGGTCTTCCTCCCTAAATGCCACACAACGTAAACACCTAGAAAAAGTGCAAAAGAGGGCATGCAAGATTATTCTCTCCCCTTCCTACTCCACATATCAAGAAGCGCTCAACACACTGACCCTTTCGACTCTCACTGACCATCACCACGGCCTCATCTGCAAATTTGGTAAGAAGCTTCTACACCATCCCCGACACCGGCCCCTACTACCACCTGAGATCCCCTGTCCGAGAATTGCTGTTCGACACCACAACCGCATCCAGCCCATACGTGCACGAACTGATCGCTATAAGAACAGCCCAGTCCCAACCATTGTAAAAATTATCAATAACATGTAATAAATCAGTGTATTCACTCCCAGTAAACACTGCTCCCTACACTGTCACTATGTTGAAATGAACTGTAGTTTGAGCTGATCCCCATCTAAGTTACTATATGTCTTATTTGTGTCACTTATGTCACTTGTATATTATTTGTAATTCGTAACCCATTCCCCAAATATGTAACTGTATATTTTCAGCCTTCTGGCTGCCAAGCTCTTTCAATAAACCGTTAATTATTATTATTATTATTATTATTATTATACTGTACAGTCAACCCTAGCTTTACGCGGTCCCACATTCCGCGTTTCCACGTTTACGTGGTTTACGTGGTACCCTGCCGACCGGAATGCTCACATTCCGCGGTGCGTGTACCCCTTTACGCGGGTGAAGTATGATTTTTTTATTTAGCTCATAAAATTCATACAAATTATCCGGCCAGAATATAATTTACACTGCTGTAATTCTTACAATTTGATGATCATTTTGAATATAAACATCATAGATTTTGCATTAGACATACAAATTTTACATCTAATGTTTACTCGGAGTAAATATGTTATCTTTTGTGCAAAATATATGACATTTACATTCAAAATATTCCTGGTCTTACAAGGAATCCAGCAATGTCAATTATATTATCCTAACTTTAGTTTGAGGTATTATTTATTACTACAGTTGTACCCCACTTAACGCGGTCAATAGAACCCAGAGGTTCCCGCGCTAAGTGAAATCCGCGTTAAGTGAACAACAGAACATATGGGATTAATTCCAATAGAACCCAGCCCGACCCCCAAACTCCACTTTTTGACGACAAATAACTATGTTGTAGTAAAAATTCTATCTTAACTTTATGGTGGCATGAAAAACAAGTAATATAGAAGAGGTTAGGTTAGGAAAGATAAAGGTTAACATAGGAAAAATAAAGAATAGGTTAAAAAACGAAAATTTTTAAGGAACACTCACGGTAGTAGAAGAGATGGGTCGGCATACGGGGATGGAGGCTGGTTCCGAGGCAGAGGGCAGATTACTGCAGGTGAATCACCATTACTAGGTGAATCACCATTACTAGGTGAATCAATATCACTGTCACTTACAGTTGTCATGGCTTCCCTGACAAATCCCTCAAAATCAACTTCACTCTCACTATCACTGGCTTGGACTGGCTGTGGTGGGTTGCGGGCGAAGAACTCGGTTATGCTTTTCTGACGGCTGGTGTTGATGTTGTCGTGATACACCTTGATGTACGGCTCCATAGCCTGCACCAGTCGGGTATGGAAGACGTCATGGCGTTCATCGTCATTGTCGCGGGAAACGATGGACTTAATTTTTTCTGTAAACTCTATGAGACACTTAATATCACTATGACTTAAACTAGGTTCTTCGGAGAATGACGCACCTTCTTCCTCCTCTTCACTGGCGGGTTCTTCTTCCAACATCTCGTCGGCAGTCACTTCAGGATCTCTGATCACCTCCATGATGTCTTCGTTGGTGGTCTCGGAGAAGCCTTCAGCTGTAATACTGAGCGCAGCTTCTCTGGCAAGGTCCACTGCTACTGCAACAGTCTGAACCTGACCAGTCACAGGTTCACTCCTCCTCTCACCTGGTATGCCATGCAACACATGTCTCCATGCGTGACGAATCGTAGCAATAGTCAGCAGATCCCATGCCTCCACCAAGAAGTCTACAGCTTGTTTAACGTTAAACTTCTTCCAAAATTGTTTGACGAGAAGTTCTTGAGTCGCCGCCTCTTGTTCCTTGTCCTCGTCGCTTTTGCTCTCGCTGTCGGTGTCACCCAGCTTACGCAACTCATCCTTGGTGTTGGTAGAGTCGTTCAGGAGCTTGAACTTCTTTGCAGAGTACGCAGCTTTCACATTGCAGATCAACTCCTGGTCCATAGGCTGGATTAATGACGTAGTGTTGGGAGGAAGGAAGACCACTTTTACGTTGGGGTGACGATCCATAAGTAGGGGCGAGTGTCCTGGTGCGTTGTCAAGGAGCAACAAAATATTGAATGAAACATTCTGTTGCTCGCAGAATTTCTGCACGTCAGGAACAAAACAGTTGTCAAACCAGAAGAGGGACAGAGAAGAGGACATCCACGCCTTACGTGCGGTTAGCCAGTGGACATTAAGCTTGTTCATGTCCATATTCTTGTAGGCGTGCGGCTTGCGGGCTTTGTGAATCACCGATAACTTTGGTTTACAGGTACCGGAGGCATTGGTGGTAAACAGGACGGTGATGCGTTCCTTCTGCATCTTCCGGCCCCTTACCTTGCTCGCAGACTGGACAACGAAGGTCTTGGAAGGTAACTTTTTCCAGAAAAGACCAGATTCGTCCATGTTAAACACCTGGTCGTCACTGTACTGTCCTTCCTCCATAATCTCACGTAAAAACGGAGGAAAATCTCTAGCCGCCGCACGGTCAGCACTCGCTTCCTCACCACCAATGTTGATGTTGCTGACCTTGTTCCTCTTCTTAAACCTATGCAGCCAACCAGAGGAAGCATTGAAGGGTTTGGGCTCTGCAATTCCCAGTTTACGTGTCACTGCTGCGTATAGCTCACGTGCGTACTCCTGCACTGAGCGCGTGTCCACCGCCATGTTGCGTCGCGCCTGACGCACCAAATAACTCACCAGCAAAGTTTCCACTTTTGCCAGCACCCTGTTCTGGCAATACCTGATAGATGAAGCACCTGCAGACTTTGTGATTTTCATGTGGTCTTTGATCTTGGCTGCATCCTTCTTGATTGTACGAATCGTAGATTCGTTGACGCCATGCTGGCGCGCGAGATCAACTTGGCGTCTTCCTTTCTCCAAATCTTGAACAATTTGGTACTTCACCTCGTAGCTTAATGAACGTCGTGTCTTCTTTGGTTTAGTGCCGCTGGGTCCAGGTGAGGAAAGGTCTCTCTCTGGGGGCGGTGGTGGTCCGGCGGAAGCCATTTTACGGAACAATGGATGCGCGTTAACCCGGGGTGGCCTTGAGGGATGAAACTGCCGCGGCTAGGTCAAGCGTCGTCTCTCCTCCCTCCCTCCCTCCCCGGGGTAGTCACGTCATAATACTTTAAGCCAATTACAGCTAGCAGCAGAGGGGGGTAGGGCTGCATGGCCAATCACAGTCCGAGACGTCATATGACGTCAGTGATAACGCAACAAAGACACACACTGCGCAACCTTACCGCGCCGCTTGCCCAAGCGGAGGGAGGAGGAGGGAGAGGCAGGCAGGCAGGCGGGCGGGCGGGTGGCGCGTGGCGCGTGGGCAAAATCTAAAAATAGCATCTGAGCCGGACACTCACCGCGTATATGTAGAAAAAATCCGCATTAAGTGAAAGTTCAGCTTTGGCAAGGCACCGCGTATATGCGAAAACGCGTTAAGTGAAACCGCGTTAGGCGGGGTAAAACTGTATACCTTAAAATCTAGTGGTTTTTCCCCAAAAATTTCTCAGAGAGGGAAGAGCCAGCGAGTGTAGTGTGAGAAGAGGGGGAGGGAGTTGAGTCCATTATTTGAATGGACATTAACTTGGCGACTGTATTTCTCTATTTCTCTTAAGTATTAATTGTGTGCATGTACCATCATAAAATTAAGATGTTATTTTTACTAGAACATAGGTATTGTGTCGGAAAAAGTGGAGTTTGGGGGTCAGCCGGTCTCTATTTCATTTAATCCCATATGTTATGTTGTTCACTTTACGCGTTTCTCACTTTCCGCGGTACCCTGTGGGTTGAATTTACCGCGTAAAGTGAGGGTTCACTGTATATACAATACAGGTAAAAGAAATAATTGTCCTAAGGGCAAACACATAAAGGGAATACAGTATACATTTCTGTGCGCATTTCTGGTAAGCAAATGTTATTCGCAGATTTGGCGATTCGCGGCCATTTTGAGAACCTAACCCCTGCGAATTTGAAGGGCATGTTGTATATCATTTCTCACTCTTGATTTCTTTTAATTTTTATATTTATTTATGGCTTTTTATTATTATTTTCCTTTGTTATAATTATTAATTTTTATTAATTTTATTATTATTATTATTATTATAAATATCATTATTATTATTATCAATATCATTATTTTATTATATTTTTGCCCCCCAGGCCTTGATGTGGGTTATCATAAAATGACCTATGCCCATAAAAAAAAAAAAAAATTAATGCATTCCCAGTACAGTACACTAATTAGAAATGAAATAGGGTTTCTTCTTCAGAATTAAAATCATGTTATTTTAAACACAGGTGATGGACTCCAAATTGAGCAAAAGTGCTATCCTGGGATTAACATCAACAAAGGAGTGGAGGCAGTCATTTACACACCTCCCCATAATCAGGAGAATGTCACAGGTGTGTCATCTTACATACAGCGCCATTATTGCTGCTGCATTCAGGAATGGTGACTACGACACTGGGTGGGAATACATGGAGACCATGTGGAAGGAGGGAAAGGTTGGTGGTGTGTCTTAGCATGTACTGTAGCAATTTTCCTGCACTCATAATGCTTTATTCATTTGCTATGTAAAGGAAAATCTTATACAGGAGAGGAGCAACTTCTCTTAACTTACAACTTAGTGTCAATTTGGAATGGCTCATATAATTTTGTACCAAAGCTAGTTAGGTGTAATCTGGGTAACCCTGTTTGCTTTACTTATCCTCTTCATAATTTGTCAGTTTTCTAACCATTTGAGCTGTTGATCATTTCACTGTTATGTACTGTTAGCAAGTACTAGGCATGCATGGGTTCTTGAATATACCTAAACACACTCCAGTATTTGTCAATTTGGGACTAAAAGGAGCTCACACTTGGTGTCACATTATTTTCTGACAGGTTATTCCAAGAGTTAACAACTTTAACACCAAAGAAGTTGTCCTTCTGGAAGCTCCAGATACTCTACATCATATTTATTCGACTGAGTAATTTCCTTTGAGGAACTTAAAACCTGTATTAAGTCACCCCTTGTTCTTCTGTAGTATAAACAAGGCAATTGTAGCGTTCTAGTCTCTCTTTGTAAGGTGGCTCAAGTTTATCTTAAGATTAACCTGCTCCCTGCAGCAATCATCACTCTATAGAGATGGAGTAAGTAGCAAGTCTGTTTAGTCATGTACAGTACCTCTCACTACATGACTTGTGCCTTAACAGTTTCAGTCACAAAGCATGCCATCGTACCTTTCTCTCGCCGTGGCTGCTGAATGAGGACTTCATATATTTTTATATTTGGCACTTTATTACCTTGGAGAGTTGCATCCCTGCCTTGTAAGCTAAGAGGGTGCTTGAAAGTGCTTCATAAAATCCACTGTTCCCATTCTGTAAAAGTAGGATGGCAATAGAAAGGATATCCAGATGTAAAACTTGCTTCATATTTGCCTGGTGGCAAATGGGACACCATGCCATGAGGTAATTGCCTCCATGCAAGCAGTAATGATGATGACTGGGTTGTTGGGCTGGTTCTTTGCTGTCCTGGGTGTTGACTATGAGTTAAGAGGAGATTTCATCCCACCTTCTCTCTCTCTTTTAATTCTTATATACAGTAGTTTTTTTTAAGTACAGTAAGTCCTCGCTTAACGTCGTCCCACTTAACGTTGTTTCGGCACTACTTCAATAAAATTTTGAGACCAAAAATATGCATAACATCCTGGTGATACGATACTACGTTGTTTTGCATCGTCACGGACTACGCTTTACGGCGCATCACCCTATTTCGTCTGGACCCGCTACACTCTCTTGGCTCGGCACAGAGTCTCAGTGACTCACCACCCTCCTCTCCTGCCCTCCTCTGCTCCCACCCTCCTCCTTCGGTCCCGCCATATTCCTCCCCTCCCGCCATCCACCTCCTCTGCTTCACTATCCACCACACACTCGCTCTACCACCTCCACCCATCGGTGAGTACCAATACAAACTTATTAGTTGTATACATATGTATGCATTTTTTTCTATAGAAATGGCAATGATTTTTTGTATACTGTACATGTATGTACTGTAATGTATTTCATGGGGCAATGGGAGGCTCAGGAATGTAACTCCTGTATTTTATCTATTTCTTAAGGGGAAAATTGATCCGCTTAACATTGTTTCATATAACGTCGCTTTTTTAGTAATGTGACCCCCAACGTTAAGTGAGGACTTACTGTCCCGCTAAACAGCGCTAAAGATAGCAGGAGTTCATCATATACAATGGTCTTATGGCTGAATTACCTCAATAAAATTATGAAGATTAATTTCAATATTTACATTTATATACATTTTAATCATTAAAAAAAAATATGTTATTGGGGAAATGGAAGTCTCAACCCCACTAAAGAAAAGGAAGCCCAGCTGGACAGCAGACCAGACTTTATTATTGGTGGATACCATTGAAGAGAAATAGTTAATACTGAATGGCCGCTTGAAAACTTTCCTGAATAATAAAGACAAAAAGAGGGGGTTATTTTTCGTTATCAACCCATCACCTTTTTATGATTTTTTTCTTACCATTTAGTAGACCTTGTCGAGTAACGAAAGAATATACAGTATGTACAGTGGTCCCTCAGTTAACGAACTCAATTTGTTCCAGTGGGTCGTTCGTTAACCGAAACCATTGTTTCAATGGGATATTGGGTAATTGGTTCCAGCTCACAGAAAAGCATATACAGTGGGGTATGCTATAACGAATCTAATTGGTTCTAGAACCTCGTTCGTTATAGCATTCGTTCGTTATAGGATTAATCCGTTCCAGGCCCCCAAATACAATCACTTAAAACTGAAAAAATCCTGTGGAAAATGTAAAAAATACGGTACTTTATCTTACCTTAGTGTTGTTCAGCATGCAGGACAGGAGGCAGAGGGGGAGGGGGGAGGAGAGAATTATAGAGAAGAGGTGGAAGGAGAGGAGTCATCCTTCCTAGCCCTCTTTGGTGACTGTCTCACAGGCACTTTGTCTGTAGGTTCTTTTGATACCTTTGTAAAGAAGGAATCCAGGGTTGGCTGCTTCAACCTTGATTTCTGGACCTTCCAAAAGTAGTTCATAACATTGTTATTAAACACACTGATGGCCTTTTGCACAGAACCAACATCAGGATGATAATCCTCAGCAAGTTTGGACAGTTTGCTCCAGCAAAAGAACGCATCCTTGAGATCTTTGGCTGGAATGATGCTGCTTTCCTCTTTGTCCTCCTCCTCCCCTGACTCCTCAGAAGTTAAGCTCCGCTTCAGTGTCTCATTTTCCTCTTTGTGAAGCTCAAGCAGCTCCTCAGTGGACAGTTCCTTACTGTGCTCTTCCACCAACTCCTCAACATCATCATCATCCACTTCCAGGCCCATGGAATTGCCCAGAGACACAATTTCATGAACAACAGCCTCTTCTTCTAACTCTTCGAAGCCTTCAAAGTCTCTTTGAAGCACACATTCAGGCCACAATGGCCTCCAAGCAGCACAAAGACACCTCACAGTAACCTCTTTCCAGGCTGAGGTAATTAAAAAAACAGCGTCTGCTATATTGAAGTGACTCTTCCAAAATTCCTTCAAGCTAACATCACTGGAAGAAGTGGATGCAAAACAATTTCTAAACAGTGCCTTTGTGTACAGCTTCTTAAAGTTAGAAATCACCTGTTGATCCATGGGCTGGATGAGAGGTGTTGTGTTGGGTGGCAAGAAGTGCACAGTGATGAAGTTGAACTCCTCTGGCAATTCAGCCATCAAATTAGGAGGGTGGGCTGGTGCATTGTCCATCACCAACAAAGCTTTCAGTGGAAGATTATTCTCCCTGAGGTATTCCCGAACACTGGGTCCAAACACCTCAATCACCCACTCAGAGAATAAATTCCTGGTCACCCAAGCCTTTGGGTTTGACCGCCACATAACACCAAGGCGGGTCTTCCTAATGTTTTTGAAAGCTCTGGGGTTTTCTGCATGGTACACAAGGAGTGGCTTTATTTTGCAATCACCAGAAGCATTAGCACAAAGAAGGAGGGTAAGCCTGTCTTTCATTGGCTTATGGCCAGGGACAGAAGTTTCCTCCTTGGTAATGTATCTACGGCGAGGCATTTTTTTTCCAAAAAGTCCAGTTTCATCACAGTTGAATACCTGCTGAGAAACAAAGCCTCCCTCTGTAATAACATTAAAAAAAATGTCATGGTGTTCCTTAGCTGCTTCCTTATCTGCACTAGCAGCATCACCATGTCTCACAACACTATGTAATTTATTTCTCCTTCTGAAACCAGTAAACCACCCCTTGGTACCCCTAAACACTGGCACATCACTATCACTTGCACTGGGAGTCTTGGCTTTAAGGTCCTCAAACAATTGTCTGGCCTTCTCACAAATCATAGCTTCACTAATGCTATCACCTGCCATTTCTTTCTCCTTTATTCACACTAAGAGTAAATTTTCCATCTCCTCAATCACATTCCACCTTGCTTTGCTAAGTCTAGAGATTCCCTTAGCCACTTGCACTGTTCTCAACTCCCATACGCATCACTAAGTTTCGCAATGCTTGTTCCATCCTCACGTTTCTTTATGATTTCTTTCTTAGTTTCAAGAGTTATGAGCTTTCTCACTCGCTTGGACGATTCATTGTCACAATTGTACACTTGTATAACAAAATATTTATACAAATACAGTGGGGTATGCTATAATGAACGGATCCTACTACGAATATTCCTATAACGAACGGTTTTACCTATAAAATTGAGAATGCTATAACGAACGCAACTCCTACAACGAACATTATTTAATTTTTTTTTTTTTTTTTTTTACTAATTTGTTGTTTTTTTATTACAAGTATTAATGATATTCTTTATTTCAGGGGTTTAGATGCATATTTATGCACTTTTTTACAATTTTTACAATTTTATATTATATTTTTCAGTGTTAAGTGGTTGTATTTGGGGGCCTGAAATGGATTAATCCTATAACAAACGAATGCTATAACGAACAAGGCTCTAGAATCAATTAGATTCGTTATAGCATACCCCACTGTAACTCTATTTCCACATCAAAAGACGAAATTTCAACAATAACAGTGGTGCACTGGCTACACAATGAGACAAAGATGGCGCCTGACGCTCTTGTTGTGGGTCGTGGTACAACAATATTCATGCGCCAGGCGAAATAGTCCCGTATTCATCCGCGTTCATTGTAGGAGTTGCGTTCGTTATAGCATTCTCAATTTTATAGGTAAAACCGTTCGTTATAGGAATATTCGTAGTAGGATCCGTTCGTTATAGCATACCCCACTGTACAAAGTAAAGCCAAAAACGCATAAAGTCAGAAACACTCCTAAAATTCCCCTAAATCGCCCTTAAATCACTATATATATACGTACATAAACACTCTTACTCTTAAATCACTACTGTAATGTGATACAGGTGATTAATTTTTATCTCTTGTGCAAAATATATGACGTTTATATTCAAATTATTCGCTGTCTTGCAAGGATTCCAGCAATGCAAATTATAATCTCCTAACTTTAGTCTGAGATATTATATAAGATAAAAACTGTAAGCCTACAACCATTGCTGAGAGGGAGGGAGGGAGGGAGGGAGGGAGTGAGCGAGCGTGCGTGTGGGGGGGGGGGTGATATGTTTGGCAGTTTGAGCCGAAGGTCTCCTGTGTGTTTATTTAACAGTCCTACTAAGCTTCTCTCATTTTAAAATGCCAGTGAAATGACCTGGGAGAATATAATTAACATTGCTGGAATTCTTATAAAATAGTGATTAGTTTGAATATAAACAAGCTATAATTTTCATTAGACATACAAATTTTAGATCTAATTTAAGGATTTTATTACAGAGAGCAAAAAATTTTATCTCGTGTGCAAAATATATGACGCTTATATTCAAATTATTCCCTATCTTGCAAGGATTCCAGCAATGCAAATTATATTCTCCCAACTTTAGTCTGAGATATTATATAAGATAAAAACTGTAAGTTTAAAACCCTGGCTGGGCAGATGGGGGAGAGGGAGGGAGGGAGTGAGTGTGGGAAGAGGGGGGAGCGGGAGGTGAGGTGTGCTTTGACAGTTAGCGCAGAAGGTCTGGTGAAGTATTTAATTTGTTTATATATGTCGTTTAGTTGAGTTTTTGTTTTTTGCTCATAAAATTGCATAGAAATGACCGGGGAGAATATAATTTATATTGCTGGAATTCTTATAAGATAGTGATTAATTTGAATATAAACAAGCTATAATTTGCATTAGACATACAAATTTTAGATCTAATGGAAATTCACCCTTTTCCTGGATAGATAGTGTCTTGTGCTTATTATTTTGTTGTAGGGAAAATGGATGATCCTTTGAAGAGGGTTAGATAACTGGCTACATATTGTGTGTTATGTTGTTTCAATGAACACGATAGGAATTGTTTTGTTTTCCAGTTCTGAACTACCAACATGTTTTTACACTCATAAGAGCATCTCCAGTGTTCTTTCAAACTACTTTTTTTTTTTAATTGAACCTGGAAGCAGCCCAGGAGGATCACTAAGGTCATAGGACCTTTGTGCATTACAGTACTCTCATTGACATGCAACACTTTTCTTGTTTATTTCACTTGCACTTCAATATTATGGATGTTGTGGCTAAGCGTGCTGTGTTGTGTTGCTGATTTGCGCTCATGAACGTTATATATTTAGGAATTTTTTTGTACACACTATTTAGTGCTTTGCATTTTATTTCATCCACTTTATTTGACTATTTATAGACTCAGTCAGTGAGGATTTCTTGCTGAGGGAATGGTTATATACTTTCTCAAAAAGCTTTTACTAGAACCATCAGCTTCACCAGATTTCTAGGACAGCATGTAGGGGTTTAGTTAGACTGGAAAAGTTTGTATGGTACTGTACTGTATTCTCCAATGGCTAATGTTGTGTGCTGCATGTGGAACAAACTCGTTGTAGGAGTGTTGGTCATCCAGCATTGGAGTTTCTTTCTGCTTCCTCCCTCAACTTACAAATAATATCTGAGTTATTCCAAAATGGCAATAGGTTATAAATGTAGTTGTGATCCTGAAATTCTCTCAATATATTGTATTTCAGCCTTTACAAGCATCAATTGTACTCTAAGATACAGAAACAATTGTGTACTGTACTTTTCTAGCTAGTCGAAACATCAATGATTTATTGAATTATTAATGTGAAGTAGTGATGGTATAGATAACATTATTAATTATGCAATAAACAGACTGAATCTCCTACCAAGATATTGAGTGCAAAGAGACAGTGACTTTCAGGAATGACCATGACTTTTGTCTAGAGGTGGACAAAATTGCTTGCTTTATTGCATTTGTATTTCAGGAGCCTCAAGATAAGGTGTTCTTGGAGTGGGTCAGACAATGTGGTGGTGCTGAGAAGACTGAAGAAAAGATGGCATTGGCAAATATTCTGTTTCGCTACCTTTGCACTTTTGAAATTTTTCCTCAGTTACCTGTTATTGAAGAGATAGCTAAATTATTTAAAGACAGCTTGGGATGGTCTAGTCACTATGTGAAGTTGTCCTCAAGGTAAATATGTGTACAGTATTATCTTTTCAGTGAACTAAAGTTTATATATCTATCTGTTCTCTTAGTAAGCCAGTTGTTGATTCCTTTCTTTTGTTTCACCTTCCATATCTGTCTTCAGCAAACTCAACACAGTTGGCATTTGACCGAGTCCATCATAGTAGTTTTTCGTATATAATTTTTTGTTGCTTAGACAATGCAATTATGAATTTCATATGTAATTTCAGGGGAAGGTGTCCAGCATGTAGAGAGGAATTAGAATGTCTAGGAGTTGATGAAGAGGAGTTTAAGCAATTACAGGTACAGTACATGAATATTAAGCTTTGTTATGATTCTCCAGACAGATCAACATATCCAGGAGTTGTAGAGAAGATAATAAGTGTTCATAAAGTGGGAAACCAGGGTCAATGGGGTGTAAGACAGGGTTGATAGGGTGTAAGAAAGGGTCAATGTGGTGTAAGACAGGGTTGATAGGGTGTAAGAAAGGGTCAATGGGGTGTATGACAGGGTTGATGGGGTGTAAGACAGGGTTGATAGGGTGTAAGACAGGGTTGATAGGGTGTAAGACAGGGTTGATGGGGTGTAAGACTGTAAGACTGTATTTCTCTTAAGTATTAATTGTGTGCATGTACCATCATAAAATTAAGATGTTATTTTTACTACAACATAGTTATTTGTCGTCAAAAAGTGGAGTTTGGGGGTCGGGCTGGGTTCTATTGGAATTAATCCCATATGTTCTGTTATTCACTTAACACGGTTTTCACTTAACGCAGGACCCTCTGGGTTCAATTGACCGCGTTAAGTGGGGTACCACTGTACTTTCTAGCTAGTCGAAACATCAATGATTTATTGAATTATTAATGTGAAGTAGTGATGGTATAGATAACATTATTAATTATGCAATAAACAGACTGAATCTCCTACCAAGATATTGAGTGCAAAGAGACAGTGACTTTCAGGAATGACCATGACTTTTGTCTAGAGGTGGACAAAATTGCTTGCTTTATTGCATTTGTATTTCAGGAGCCTCAAGATAAGGTGTTCTTGGAGTGGGTCAGACAATGTGGTGGTGCTGAGAAGACTGAAGAAAAGATGGCATTGGCAAATATTCTGTTTCGCTACCTTTGCACTTTTGAAATTTTTCCTCAGTTACCTGTTATTGAAGAGATAGCTAAATTATTTAAAGACAGCTTGGGATGGTCTAGTCACTATGTGAAGTTGTCCTCAAGGTAAATATGTGTACAGTATTATCTTTTCAGTGAACTAAAGTTTATATATCTATCTGTTCTCTTAGTAAGCCAGTTGTTGATTCCTTTCTTTTGTTTCACCTTCCATATCTGTCTTCAGCAAACTCAACACAGTTGGCATTTGACCGAGTCCATCATAGTAGTTTTTCGTATATAATTTTTTGTTGCTTAGACAATGCAATTATGAATTTCATATGTAATTTCAGGGGAAGGTGTCCAGCATGTAGAGAGGAATTAGAATGTCTAGGAGTTGATGAAGAGGAGTTTAAGCAATTACAGGTACAGTACATGAATATTAAGCTTTGTTATGATTCTCCAGACAGATCAACATATCCAGGAGTTGTAGAGAAGATAATAAGTGTTCATAAAGTGGGAAACCAGGGTCAATGGGGTGTAAGACAGGGTTGATAGGGTGTAAGAAAGGGTCAATGTGGTGTAAGACAGGGTTGATAGGGTGTAAGAAAGGGTCAATGGGGTGTATGACAGGGTTGATGGGGTGTAAGACAGGGTTGATAGGGTGTAAGACAGGGTTGATAGGGTGTAAGACAGGGTTGATGGGGTGTAAGACAGGGTTGATAGGGTGTAAGACAGGGTTGATAGGGTGTAAGACAGGGTTGATAGGGTGTAAGACAGGGTTGATGAGATTGTAAGACAGGGAGTTGATAGGGTGTAAGACAGGGGTTAGTGGGGTGTAAGACAGGGGTTGGTGGGGTGTAGACGGGGTTGGTGGGGTGGGAGCAGGGGTTGATGTGAGGTGTAGAACCCAGGATTCAGTGGGGGTGCAAGACCCAGGGGTTGATGGGGAGGGTGTAAGACAGGGTTGATGGGGTGTAAGACAGGGGAGTTGATGGGGTGTAGGGCAGGGGTTGATGGGTGTAAGACAGGGGTTGATGGGGTGTAAGACAGGAGTTGATGGGGGTGTAAGACAGGGTTGATAGGGTGTAAGACAGGAGTTGATAGGGTGTAAAGACAGGGTTGATACAATTGTAGACAGGGTTGATGAAGATTGTAAGACAGGGTTGATAGGGTGTAGACCAGGGTTGATGAGATGCCAAGACAGGTTGATGTGAAATTGTAAGACAGGGTTGAGTGTGGTGTAAGACAGGGGTTGAGTGTGAATGAGAGGAGGGTTGAGTGGGTGTAAGACAGGGTTGATGGGGTGTAAGACAGGGGTTGATGGGGTGTAGACAGGGTTGATGTGGTGTAAGACAGGTTGATGGGGTGTAAAGACAGGGTTGATAGAATTGTAAGACAGGGTTGATGTGGTGTAAGACAGGGTTGATGGGGTGTAAGACAGGGGTTGATGTGGTGTAAGACAGGGTTGGTGTGGTGTAAGACAGGGTTGAGGGGAGTGTAAAGACAGGGTTAGTGTGGTAAGACAGGGTTGGTGTAAGACAGGGTTGATAGGGTGTAAAGACAGGGTTGATAGGGTGTAGACAGGGTTGATGGGGTGTAAGACAGGGTTGATGGGGTCATGTAAGACAGGGGTTGGTGGGGTGTAAGACAGGTTGAGTGGGGTGTAAAGACAGGGTTGATGGGGGTGTAAAGACAGGGTTGATGGGTGTAGACAGGGTTGATGGGGTGTGAACCTGGGTTGATGGGGTGTAAGACAGGGTTGAGTGGGGGTGTAAAGACAGGGGTTGATGTGGTGTAAGACAGGGTTGATGGGGGTGTAGACAGGGTGATGGGGTGTAGACAGGAGTTGATGGGGGTGTGGGAACTGGGGTTGGTGGGGTGTAAGACAGAGTTGATGATTGTAAAGACAGGGTTGATTAGAATTGTAAGACAGGGTTGATTGGGGTGTAAAGACAGGGTTGATGTATGAGGTGCAAGACCTTGGGGTTGATGGGGTGTAAGACAGGGTTGATGAGGTGTAGACAGGGTTGATAGAGGGTGTAGGGCCAGGGGTTGATGGGGGTGTATGACTTGGGTTGATGTGGTGTAAGACAGGGGTTGATGGGGTGTAGACAGGGGTTGATAGGGTGTAAGACCAGGGTTGATAGGGTGTAAGACAGGGGTTGATGGGGTGTGAACCCAGGGTTGATGGGGTGTAGACCTTGGGGTTGATGGTGTAAAAGACAGGGGTTGATGGGAGGTGTAAGACTTGGAGGTTGATAGGGTGTAAGACAGGGGTTTGATGGAATTGTAGAAAAGGAGTTGGTGGGGTGTAAGACAGGGTTGATGGGGAATTGTAAGACAGGGTTGATGGGGTGTAGAACCCAGGGTTGATGGGGTGTAAGACAGGTTGATGAGGTGTAAACAGGTTGATACAGGTGTAAGACAGGGTTGATGAGATTGTAAGACAGGGTTGAGTGTGGTGTAGGGAACAGGGTTGATAGGGTGTAAGACAGAGGTTGATGGGGAGTGTAAAGACAGGGTTGATGGGGTGTAAGACAGGGTTGATGGGGGTGTAAGACAGGGGTTGATAGGGTGTAAGACAGGGTTGATGGGGTGTAGACAGGGTTGATGTGGTGTAAGACAGGGTTGATAGGGTGTAGACAGGGTTGATGGGGTGTAAGACAGGGTTGATGGGGTGTAGGAGCAAGTTGATAGAATTGTAAAGACAGGTGATAGGTGTAAGACAGGGTTGGTGGGGTGTAGACAGGGTTGATGAGGTGTAGACAGGGTTGATAAGAGGGTGTAAGACCAAGTTGATGTGTGGTGTAAGACAGGGGTTGTGGGGTGTAAGACAGGGTTGGTGTGGTGTGAACTGGGGTGCAGTGTGGTGTGAAAGACAGGGTTAGTGTGTGGTGTAGAGGAGGGTTGATGGGTGTAAGACAGGGTTGAAGTAGGGTGTAAGACAGGGGTTGATAGGAGTGTAGGGTTGATGTGGTGTGAACCCAGGTTGAAGTAGGGTGTAAGACAGGAGTTGGTAGGGTGTAAGACAGGGTTGATGTGGTGTAAGACAGGGTTGATGGGGTGTAAAACCCAGGGTTGATGTGAGGTATGGGAACAGGGTTGATGTGTGGTATGGGCAGGTTGTTAGAAGGGTGCTTAAGACAGGGTTGATGTGGTGTAAGACAGGGTTGGTGTGGTGTAAAGACAGGGGTTGATGTGGTGTAAGACAGGGTTGATAGAGATTGTAAGACAGGGTTGATGTGAAATTGTGAAGACGGTTGAGTGTGGTGTAGACAGGGTTGGTGTGGTGTGAAGACAGGGTTGGTGGGGTGTAAGACAGGGTTTGATGGGGGTGTAGAACCCAGGGTTGGTGGGGGTGTGTAAGACAGGGTTGATGGGGTGTAAGACAGGGGTTGATGGGGTGTAGACAGGGTTGATGTGGTGTAAGACAGGGTTGAAGTAGAAGGTGCAGACAGGGTTGATGGGGGTGTATGACAGGGTTGATAGGGTGTAAGACAGGAGTTGATGGGGTGTAAAGACAGGGTTGATGTAATTGTAAAGACAGGGTTGGTAGGGTGTGAGACAGGGGTTGATGGGGTGTAAGACAGGATTTGATGTGGTGTAGACAGGGGTTGATAGGAGTGTAAAGACAGGTTGATGTGGTGCAAGACAGGGTTGATGGGGAGGTGTAAGACAGGTTGATGGGGTGTGAACCCAGGGTTGATGGGGTGTATGACAGGGGTTGGTGTGGTGTAAGACAGGGTTGATGGGGTGTAAGACAGGGTTGATGTGGTGTGAAGACTTGGGTTGATGGGGTGCATGAAGACAGGGTTGTGGGTGTATGAGCAGGGTTGATGTGGTGTAAGACAGGAGTTGATGGGGGTGTAAGACAGGGTTGATGTGGTGTGGAGCAGGGTTGATGGGGTGTAAGACAGGGTTGATAGAGGTGTAAGACAGGGTTGATAGGGTGTAAGACAAGAGGTTGATAGAATTGTGGGCAGGGTTGATGGGGTGTAAGACAGGGTTGATGGGGTGTAAAGACAGGTTGATGTGGTGTGGGCAGGGGTTGGTGGGGTGTAGACAGGGTTGATGTGGTGTGGACAGAATTGGATGTGGTGTAAGACAGGGGTTGGTGGAGTGTAGGGCAGGGTTGATGGAAGTGTAAGACAGGGTTGATGGGGTGTAAGACCCAGGGTTGATGGGGTGTAGACAGGG